GAATACGCGAGGAGGGTCCCCGCCCCGAGCCGAGGGGCACGCACGCGGCGCGCGAGGTCCTACCCCACAAATAAGGACCCCTCTCCGAAAAACGCGGGCACCTCGCGCAGCGCAAACCGTCACACCCCACCGCGCCGCCCGGGCGGACGGCGGCTGCGCACGCCTCCGACCCCCCCTTTGCGCACCGGTCACCCAAACCCCAGCCCCTCCCCGCCCCCCTCACTTGTTCAGCGACGTCCCCCCCGGCGGCTCCCAACCCTCAAAGGTGCGCAGGGACCCAGTCTTCGGGTTGAACGCCCACGCAGACGCCTCGGCGGCCGCCAGCAGCTGCCGCCGGGCCGCCTCCGAGCCGGTGGCTTGGAACTCCTCGTAGAAAGACGGCAGGTAGACAAAGCCTGGGGGGTGCGTTTTCGGGGAGTTTTGAGTCATGCCGGCAGAAATCGCCCGGCCCTTGCATGGGTGACATCACGCGCAACGGGTTTGGCGGGTTTGCAGAGGCGCGCAACAAACGAACAAAAGGAAGGAGTAGGGATATAGGGTAGCGGCAGGGGATAGGAGCGGGGTAGGAAGGGGCAGGGGCAGGGGCGAGGCAGGGAAAACAAAACCTCTGGAGGGAGGTTTTGCGACGAGCAGAGGGGCAGCGGACGGGATGGAGACGTGATGACGGCGCACACGCCCGACCCCCTGTAACCTGACGGGGCGCCGGCCGCGGAGGTTTTTTTTTACACCCGCAGCCGGCTTGGGTCTGTTGCCTCTCCGCGCCCACCCCTCCCCCGCCTTGTGACCCCCGGCGTCGCCGTCGCCATGACTAGGCCCCCCACCCCCCCCTTGGGGCCCCAGACAGGCGCGGGGCCCGCAAGCCCCGCACCAAAGTCGTGCTGCAGCGCCCACTCGCGCTGCATGTTGGCCAGCCCGCGCGTCCAGTTCTGCGCGGCGCCCCGCCAGGTCGCGTCGCCTGTCAGGTTGTACAGCTGCCACAGGACCTGCGCAGAGAGGTGTGTGTGTGTGTGTGTGTGTGTGTGTGTGTGTGTGTGTGTGTGTGTGCGCGCGCGCGCGTGTGCGTAACGTGTGTGCGCGTAATGTGAGTGAGTGTGTGTGTGTGTGTGTGTGTGTCTGTGTGTCTGTGTGTTCAGAAGGGTGAGGCGTGAGCTGAATGGTCGGCAGTCGAGCCTCGAGCCGCGACGCGCGGCTGGAGGGTTTCAACAGAGGCAAGGCGCGCAGGGCAGCGGGCGGGTCGTCATGCAGAGCAGAAAACACGTCGCGGGCGCACAACCGCATCAAACACGCTTGCCGACCAACAAACATGTGTAAACACACACATTATGATTTGTCAACCGACTCATCAACCCACACGCACGCGCGCGCCCACCCACTCAGACACACACACACACACACAAACACACACACACACAAACACACACTCAGATGCAAGTCCACACACAGACGCCCTCTGCCTCTCTCTCTGCCTCATGCTCACGCGCACGTACACAAATACGCACACACATGCACCCACAAACACACTCACAGTCCCCCACACATAATCAAACAGCTCCACCAGCATCCTCACACCCTCTGCCCATCACCCACCCCCGGGAAGAACCCCGCAGTCCACGACTTGGCGCTTGTTGTGTCCCAACCGACACCAGACGCCGCGGACTGCGCTGGATACTGTGAACATCGCAGGCGGGCATATGGG